GTGACCCAGGAAGCCTTCACTTGATTGCTGTATCTCAGCTCCACTTCATCTCACCTACCCACCCACTTGCCACATAAATTTCTTCCATCACCTTTATGCTGTCTCTGCCCACAAAGGCTTTCAGAAAAGACGAACTAACTACCCGCAGAGGAGAGATGGAAACTAAAAAGATGAGGACCTCTGCCCTTCAGAATCTTCCTCTGGAAGATGACAGTGCATGACTATACCTCTGTAGCTTGGTCTTAAGGAAACAGAAGTTTTTGAGACGAAACTGATTATTAATATTGTCATCCATACGAGAATGGTTGAAAGCTATTTCCTTTTATCCTTATTCTCCAGCTGAAAGTTGACAAAAAGTCAGCGCTATTCAGGACAGTATCTAAGACATGAGACACAGTATTTTTCCAGCAGAAGCTTATTGTTTCTCCTCTTGGTTATATCCCTGTACAACAGTACAGATCCTCTCAAAGACTTTCAACACATCAGATTTTGACTAAAGCATCATGACGTGGCACTCATCTCTACTTTTACTCCATTTCTAAGGGCAGCTGCTTTTCTATTTTTCTTTGCGCATCTGTGGACAACAAAATCTTTTCTCTATCACAAGAATGTCTTCATTAAGTCAGTTTCTGCCTTCAGCTTATTCTTAGTCTTCTGCATACTATAATCTATGTGTATGCACAAGAAAGGCTTGAGAGGCAAACTGAAAAAGCAGGAAGCTAGAATAAACAATGAGGCAGGAACTGCGGGAAACTTGAGCATCTTTTCTTGCCCTTACTGTGCTGCCTTCCTTTTCATCCTTGTTTACTGTTGAATTTGGGATTCCTCCTACATTTGTATGAAACGTGATTTCAGTGTCCTCTGTTTTGTGACCTCGTTCTGATAGCAGTATAACATGGCACAGCTAATACAGTGACTGCAGCACAAAGTCAAACAATTCTGAGTTTAACTACTATCTTGAACACTTAATTTCATATCAGATTTGGCAAATTTAGATATTCAAAATTTCTTGTGCACTTAACTTACACTTTTACACTTAATGTTGTTCACTAAGCAATAAAAAGGTCCTAAATACCAACTGATTCATCACTGGATATTCCATCTCCCTTTGCAGAGGTAATAGGATAGAAGTAAAAGTTGCATTTTAATATACAAAACACCCAATAACCCAGTGATCCACGCAACCAAATAGCATCTCTGTCCCATTCATTTCAAGGAGAGTGACATCCTCTGGAAAAAGAAATTATTAAACACTAATGTTTGCTGTCTGACACTGAATTTACTTTGTGAAACAATGAAAATTTGACAGTGACAGGAAAGAGGGAAGTTAAACATAGACAGAGAGTGGTAGTTTCACCCCAAATCAGCAAAATCCCTTTTTGACATCTTAAAAGAAACCTACCTGTTAATAAGATCAACAGATTTTTAATCAAGATAATTACCCTCACACATCTTTTCCTATCCTTAAGTGTTTAACAAGAAACATCTTAGGCTTTCCTTACCCTTACTACTTCTAAAGCTTCAAACTGTAAGCAAAGAAACAGACTATGTTGTGAATTGCAACCCTTTTGCATCATGTGAAAGGCTTTCCTATTTGCATTACAGAAAGACTTCTTTCTCTCTAAAATTATCCATGCATTTAAAGATTGGGGTGAAAAAGCACCTGTTACTCTCAACATTTCACTAGAAACCATCTGGCCTTACTTTTAGTTCAGCTGCTGCCTCTGTTTCCTCTACTTGCTGCAGACCTACAGAGGCTGACAGGAAGGAGCGATGGTTTTCTGTCTGTGAGCAAAGCACAGGGGAGAAAGGGAGTCATCTATGAAGGCTGGAATACTTCAGTGCCCCAAAGGCATCAGTCTGAGATAGTGCATAGGCAAGTAGTAACTCTGCCAGCTGAAGAATAATCCAAGGAAAGTATTTAATAGGTCTGTCTGGACCCGAGTGAGTGTCAAAGTCTTTTTGGCAGATGAAGTCAGGATTATGAATGCAGTTGGGAAACTATGCAACATTTTCAACTTAATATTGACCAAGTATGGACTTTTCAATAGAAGATTCCTAACCAGTCACCATATGAGAACAACGTGACCGAAGTTATTAGTCCTAACACAGGTCTTTAACAGACATCCTAATGGAAATAGGCTTTTTATCCCTAAAACAAGTGTTCAAAGGATCAAATAAACCTTGTCACTAAGAGTCGAACAATGGTTAAGAGTAGGGGAAAAAAAACGGAGAGAAGTTCCATAATGCCCCAACACAAACAATTTCTTGCAAGCCTCAGTACAAGCACTCGTTCTTATAAAAGCAGAGCTAATGGGGTAGGTTTCCCTGACACCTCTAAGACAAGAATCCAGCTCTGTCTCTGAACGATGTCAAGTTCTGATGGTATTTCTGCAGCAGGGACTGCAGAGTGGAGGGGAGGGTCAATTCTACTACACCTCATGGCATGTTAGCCCACAAAAAGAATGTCTCAGCACAATTCTCCACCCTTTCTGAACAATATATTATTTAGGTCACATAGATAAGCACCACAAATGTGCAAGAAAAAAAAGCCACAGACAGTTCTGTTCCTAAGCTCAACGTCTAAGTTCCTCAGCACAGCAAACACTGACTGGACGTTAGGGCAAAGGTGCAGGAAGTAAGTGAAGTTTTTATAATGCAAACCTGTAATGGTATCTTTTTGAAGATACATACATCTAAATCTGCTCTTAAACCAAGGAGCTGTAAATTCCAAGCCTGGATTTTGCTACAGATATCACCCCTTATTGCCATAATTATCCTGCAAAACGTCAGCTTTCTTTTAGGAAAAAATGTCTCCCTAAGCACACATACCAGCAGAGATGATCTTGGAAACATAACCTAGGTGTGTGAACTCACAAAGTCTTAACTGAAGAGGCTGCAAACAACCTGAAACTACAGCAAACATCCCCATGCACTTCTCTCAAGAGAACCATGCAATGTAGCCATTTGTCATGGACTTCGAGATTTTGCTAAAGCCAAATATTTTGGTTTCCTTCCCCCTTCCTGCTCTGCCAGGACCTGCCTGCAAGTCCTTTCTATTCCTCAGTCTTCCCTCAGTGAGGAGTTTGTTGGAATATGTGCAGGAAACAAGAACTGGACTCCAACTTGTAATCAAGGAGTCTGCAGAGTCAAAATAATGGGATGAAAGAACAGCCTAGCAGCTGGATCAGCTGCCTAAATGACACAGGGAAGAAAATCTCTGAAAGTTATCTGTAAACCTTACAAGCTTACATATTTTCAGCACTGAAATAGGTAAAAAAACATTTGTCTTATTAGGTCCAGAAAAAAATATTTAAGTTTTATGAATGGAATGAGGGTTTATCAAATTTATACATTGATTTAGACCACAAAGTCTATTATTACCAGTGAGACTTATTTATCTATAATTTCACTAAAGAGACCCCCATTTTACTAGGTATCTTTCCTGTACTAAAGATGATACTGAATCTTCATGTAAAGTCATTTTTCTACACAAACGGACACTTACATTCTCTCTGCTGCTTCCTAAGTTAACAGCGAGAACCACATGTGAAGTTCAGGTGGGAACTGAGCTGTGGGCAATTACTGTTATATTTTCACAATCTATTTTTAAGTTTTTGCTGCTCAGCACAGAACAGACATGAGTAAGTACAGTAACTATGCAAGAGCAAAACTTGAGAGAAAGAAGAGATCCAACAAGAAAGGGAGGCCACTATCTGACATTTTAAAAGGGCAAATCGAAAGCAATCAACACCCAACAAAATGCTCAATGTAGGATGAGGTGATAGCTTAGAATATACTTAGGATACTGTAATGAGGCTAACAAGTGCTGTGTGTTTTAATGTAAATTAACACAAGATAATCTCTTCACATATTTAAGTGATACACTTCAAATTAATTAATACATATTTAATAGAAGTCTTCTTGAACAGCTGTTATTTACTTCTGGAGTTTCTACACATTAGCACTGCCTGCTTTGTTCTGCTCTGAAGTTGTTCATGCTCCAAAGTACTTTAACAACTTGGGCGGTATAAAAATTGAACACTCTTCGCAAAAGAGACAGCCTTTCTGATAACTTAATATTTTTACATTAAGTATTCAAACACTTTCTGAACAAAAGGTCAAATTCTACTTACAGCATCTGTGTGAAACAGGCAAGCAGATGCTTAATGCTGCTAGACAAATACTTTCGGCACAAAGAATGATAAAGAGTTGGTGATCAGTCACATTTCCAGGCTTTAAAATCAGCTTTCCTTTACTTCTATTCCCTAAATTCTGCACTTACCGTTCATATGTAACAATAAAGACCCAAATTATGGCCTGTTCCTTCCATAAGTGTTACACAGTGGTGTGTTAAATGAAATCCTGACAGTGAAAGTGCTGGCTACAGTATTCATTGCATGTTATGAGTATTACACCAACTCATTAGGGTTTTTGTCTTACAAAGACTACTGTGTACAACATTACTTCATTTAGGCCTTGCATACAGCATCGAAGTAGTTCTCACTTACCACCCCTTTTATTCAGATGAAAACCCATTTGAGTCCCAGTCACTTCTGAGTTTTTAGGATGCGAATGAGTAGAAACCAATTCAAGAAACATGCTGGTAACACATTATATTTTCACGCTCACAGTGATGAATGTGACTTTTGGCAACTGTAATCGGTTTCTTTAAACATAGTTATCATCACTGAACAATCCTTATCAGTGTATCGGTTGTAGTTTTCAGCTGACTACTTGAAGATGTTTACTCTTCTTACGGCACTAGAGCACTGGCTAGTGCTCATTAGGCTGACATGTCAGCCTTTCTAGCTTACAGGTTTACTGAAAATAACTTTCAAAGTTGGTAACAATTGTGTTAGAAAATACTTGTTGGGACAACCATCATTAAATCTTCTGTGCAATGACGTATGGAAATACATGCAACTTGTGAAAGGCCTGAAAACAGTCCTAAATACACAAAGGTGGAAAATATGTACTGATTTAAACACACCGATATTACTGGTATCTAAATTCATTCTTTTTTATTTAATGTGGTGTTTTTCACAATAAAGAGGACATAAGACGGAACTCACGACTCAGGCTAAGAACTTAAAGACTAAACCAGATTGATGCTTTACCTGGTAAATATGCTGTGGGTAAATGAGCGTGTGGAAGACAGATTCAGAAAGCATCTTCACGATCCTCAAATAATTCTGCACTGCCTATACCAGCAGCTTGGAGTTAGAGCTGCAGATGCAAGGAACGAGGAAGATGATCTAAATTATTTTTCCCTGCCGCTGAGTGTGGCTGGTGCAAGACTGGCTTAGCTTTCAGCTAGAATCGGTTTCCTGATCCCTGTGAGGCCGCATGAATGCTATTGCTGGCACAAGAGAAACGGTGGGGACAAGTGGCTGAGATAGAACTGTTGGTTTTGATGGAAGGCCAAACACATGGCAGATTAAAACACCTGTGTAAACGTGGACTTTGAAAAAGTAGTGCCGGCCACAATAAACAGGCACCTGAAAGGAGTTCTATGCATTGAAACTTTGTCAGCATATTTAGGAGGAAAAGGGAGAAAAGCAGAAGAATGCCAAGGTTGTCATAGAGTCTAAAGAATCTCTTTTCCAGGAGGTGAGCACACCAAAGACATTTCACTGCTTTTGATGGGAGTCATGTGGGAGACAGGCTAGTCCAGAAAAAAAGAAATGAGAAGACTTAATCTCATGCTGTGATATTCTGAAATCACCATTATGTTAATGAAACTAAATTTCTTGAAAATCTTTTTGCCTTTGGAAGGAGGATGTATCTTTTGTTCAGAGAAGTGTGGGCACCGCCAGTGGACACAAAAAATGTGTTTGTATACTTGCTTTGGTATCTACAATATAACTTTCATTAGCATCAGCAGAAGCCTGATGCATAGATGTCAAGGAAAGAGAGAGAGATCCCAGAGGACAAACTTAGCTCCCAGTCCCAGGGAATGAAAACATATGTCCACATTTTATACGGCCATGACATAACAGGTATTCTTTGGGTTATTTTAAACTTCCTTAGAGCTAAAAGATCAAATTCAAGGGGAATCTCTTACAACATACACAGCGAGACTATCGTATTTTTCCTCTACATTTTACAGGAAAAATGGAAATCTGTGTTTACCTGTCAGCTTTGGTAGAAAGGTTTCCATCATAATTACAGCTTGTGTATTGGAAGAAACCTGGCAGTTTTTAACATCACTAATACTAGTCTGGAGAGGTACAAAGCTGTAGGAGCTTGCTGAAAAATAACAATAAACCTTTATTAAAATTTCCAATTTTTGCAAAAACATTTTAACTAAATTCCAAATATTTACATTTATTCTCTATTAAATATTGTAAGTAAATCAATTTCCCAATTATCTTACATTTTTCTGTGGTATACAATTACTACATTTTTATAATAAATGCATAATTCTAATGAAAAAATAATGATCTTGAACTTTAATAGAGCCCTTCATTTGAGGAGATGAAAGTGCTGTACATTCATTCATTTATTATGTCTTACAACCCCCGTGTGATGTAGGTACTATTATCATCATTTTACAGATGGGAAAACTGAAAGGCTAATTAACTTGTCCAATTTACAATACTCTCAGCTGTAAACTTGGGGCATCCTATTGTACTCACAGGCAAAACAAAACTCAGCTGACCTGTGATGAATATTTACTAAAAATTCTTAAATTCCATAAGTATTTTACTTATAGGGGAGAATATATTACACAAGCCTTCGTAGAGTTGGTTTTGCATTGACAATGGCTTTGAGTGCCACAGAAATGCGCTGTCTAGGAACAAACATCAGAGCACCAGTTTATTGTAAAGTGTTACCATGTTTCCCAGCTAGTTACGGAGATGATGTGTGTTTTCATGTAATGTTATTAGCCATTCAAGCACACGTTTGTGCTTTAATTCTGTATGATGTATCGTACTGCACTTATACACACACAAAAATACTGTTTGCTGACAAACTCATTCTCTCAGTTTACTTATGTGTCCCATAAATTTCTTTACTCTGTCAGGGTCAACACCATTTGCCCAATAACCTTCTTTCTTGAAATACGAACCAATTATTAGAGCGTTTGCATCCAAGTAATTCCTCACATTCTCCAGAGTCACTCCAGACCCAATCAGCACAGGAATCTTCACAGCACGTTTAACCTCTGAAGAGAGGAAAACCAAAATTAGGGTTAAGTCCCATCTTTGCAACTCTATCAAAACTCTAATTTCCTTAGTTTTTCAACAATGAAGAAAGGTATCAAGAAACTCATGATCACGGTATTTCTTACTTCTACTATAGAATGAAACAACTTCTCTAGAAAAAACACCTTTAGCTCTGAACAGCTGTTAAGAAAAATCTCACCTTTATTCCATTTTGCATTCTGTTGTTGTATGAAACGCTGCAGAAGAATATTCCTGGCCACGTATCAGAGGATAGTTTCAGTGCTATGGAAGATATGAAAGTTGGGTCTTGGTACCATACCTGTACCCCTCTATTCTCAAGGAACAAGATTTAAGCACGATGAAGTTGAATTGGCTGGCAGAGAATGTACTACATTTTACTACATTCCTGCATAAATTCATTTTTGTTCCACATCCCTGGTAAGAAGAGATGCTAGATGCAGGAAGTTTTTGCACAGCAGGACCAGAACCTTTTACTTACTGTGACTGTTACCATCACGCTTAGAGGCTCCATTGTGCTTGAGGTGCTACACATACATGGAAAGGAGCTATCGTTTACTACTGTGTTGCAGTAGCACCCAGTATAGATTCCAGGCAAACCAGGTCCATTGCCTCGACAAAGGATTTACTGATGCTGGAGTGACCATGTGGGCTGCCGTGACCCATGTGGAGTCTTAACTGTGTTCTTGATTTCCCTCACCTTAAGATGTGAATAATCACCTCCCCCAATCTTTCCACGAAGTAATCAAAATACAGCTACAAGAGTAAGAAGCCATTCTTGTTTCCATTCATTGTATTAGCTCAGATTCTTTTTTGCAAGTCTGGTGAGATCATTACAGTGGCAGAACTATTCAGTAGAGCTGTGCTCATTACAATTCTTCAGTCATCAGTTTAAATCACAATAATGGTAGTTGGACTGGTGTGTATTTCTGCCAGGTCTCCTTGCTGAATTTATGCTACGTTGACAACTAGTAGAAGATCTTCAGTGAAGAAACAAGAAGGGCCTTATTCACAGGGAACAGAAAAGGAACATGCTCTCTACTTCATGATAAATTTCAGAAACTCAGAAGTAGGAAAGCAAGCAGTGGTCATATAGCCTACATTGATAGCTCCAGCTAGTTTACCAGAAAGCAAAAGATAGTACTGATAAAGACTACTTCTCTTTCTATGAATGGCAATGGAACAGAAAAGCCAATTATTTTTTCTATATACAGTATGTGTTACTTAATTATCTGACCCTTTACCTGGCTCCAAAAGACAAAATAACAAAACAGGGCTCAAAATATTACAGATCCAGAGAAATAGACAAAATATCAAAACAGGGCTCAAAATATTACAGATCCACTTCATCCCCCACGCACAGGGGTGGGTTTCAGTCCATGGTTCAGGTGATCAGGTACACTGTGAAATGCATGCATTCTGACAGACCTGACTGTGCAGAAACTGATCTATGGCTCAGTTACCGTAGTTCACATTTTTTAGAATAAAACCAAAAGGGGATGGCTGTTTTGACCATGAAAAGGTTCCCCATAGATAAATAAAAGGTTATTAGAGTATTTTCTGCAGAACTTGGGTCTGTACTAGCTCTGGAAAAAAAATTTAAAAATCCCAGTTCAAGAACTACTAAGCATCCTTCTTACCCTTTCATTTCAAACTGACCATCCTAAGAGTCACTCACAGGACTGGATGCTTCATCCCTTACTTAGAGAAAGGTTGTGAGGCATTATTTCTGACCTTTAAAAACATATAAATTGCTTTAATTGGTGATAAGCTGATGTAAGATGGTTAGAGCTTGAAGTAACTAGGGAAAGCATATATGCAAAATAAAAAAAGTCTGCTTCAAAACACTGTTTGTTTAAATGAAGTTTCATCAGAAGCCTAACTTATTAATTATGCTTCAGGGAAGACTAATTATTTATCACCTTCCTACTTCACCAAAGAAAGGGATCAATTAAAATGTTCTTGAATCTCTTTTTAGGTCACATGCCCTACCATTTTTCCATCTAGGAACAATAACTCCTTCTTACAAACATTTTAACCCAAAATTAAAACCATTCCACACAGTCCTTACTGAAAATTTTAAACAAATCAGATGGATCATGCATCTATGATTAAAACTAGTTATTTCTATGCATATTTTATATTCTTATGGTCATCCTGCTTACAGCAACAAAATAATTCATTTTTAGTTATTTATAGCATTATTACTGAAATCCTGTTCTAGAAAAATCAGAATTTTATTTATATAGTATCTACATGCTCTTAGAAATATCATATCTGCTTTACATAGATACCAATGCATAATTAAGGTGCTACAACTGACCGGAGATTTGTGCAACAGTACTTTACCATATTCCCAGAGGAACTGCGTACCAAGTCAATATTTTTTTTTATGACAAGTGCATAAGGCACATTAGCAGGTAGTTGTTTTACAATTATTTCACATCAGCAGGAAAAATGAAGAGCCAAATAATTAAACAGAGCATGATCACATGGGTGTAAGACAATAGCTTAGCCCTATTAGGCAAAGAGTAAAAACCAGTGAAACCTGAGACTGCTGTGAAGCTATAAAAAATCCCAAAGCTTTCCAAAGTAGCAAGGTATCCAACTCCTGCTGTGATCCATACATGACACGTGGAGTCCACACACATCTCCTGTGCTGGAGATTTATTCAGACTGACAACGTGAAAAATGGCAATGGGAGTGCTCGGTCTACAATAAGACTGGGTTACCTAATTAAGTATGCTACAGATGCTACTTTTAAGTCATTTCCAAGCACATCAAGGCCTAAAGTTGATTAGTAGAAGGTGACTTGTCTATTGGCTGTGTTAATACAAATTCTAACTTGTAAAAGAAAATAAAGCAACAGCAGTGAGATATGCTTTTGCATGGCAATGTTCAGTCACTGTCAAGATGTCTCTAAACACAGAGCTTTGGTTTAAATCTCTCTCAGCTTTCTTGGCTTTCTTCTGATTTTTTTTTTTTTCTTGACACAGAGAAAAGCAGACACTTTTGTGATGTTACAGTAACAAGATCCTAAAGTTTATACAACTTGCACATTTCTCTATTTCAATAAACTGTAACTAGAGGGCACTGTGCTCTTTCTTGTGACAGTACATCTGCAGACATGTCTTTAATAAAATCAAATGAAATAGTGCTTGGCTGCAAAGCACAATGAAAGCATTTGAACTATGGTATGCACAAGTTACATGAAATAAAGGCCAAATGCTTCTAGCTTGAAAACAATGGCAAAGAGCAGCGTAAAAACAAGCACCACTGTGCCAATAACTTGCTCAACTACTCTTCTTTAACAGCTTTTTCATATGCAGTAATTACTGCAGTGTGCAGTACCGTACACAACACTGTTTATGGCAATGCTCCACTGAAACACATTTTAGTTTTTTAATTCAAAGGACTTTTTCTCTGTCATTAAATCTAGAGCTTACAAAAAGTACAGATCAGAGACTCACATCTCCTGTTTAACTCTACGAGGGTGCCGCAAAGGCAGCAGCCTCTATTTTGACCTAAATGTACCATCAAAAGGTGAGAGGGTGAATCAGTCTTGATGCCCCTTTTATGAACAATAACTAAGGAGGTGACAGCCACAGCCAGCTGTTGAGTTTCATGATGTACCCCACTTTCCACTGGTTACTCAGCTGAGGCCATTTGTTTTGTTCACACAGATAACTAAGCAGTCATTATACAAAGCTTTGATCACTTAAAATACAGCCTGGATGTGAAGCAGGTATTTCAGCAGTTATACCCAAAGAGAAAACCTGATAGATTCATTCTCCAACCAAAGAACATTTCACAGTGTAACAAACTGGAACAAACTTCTATAACATCTTAAATGAAAATATGGTTTATTAAATAAATTAATTGTAATTCAAAATGCTCAGCTATAATTCCTGATCCTTAATAACCTGAAGTCTGAGTTTTAAACCTTGTACTCCGTCGACCACTGGTGCCTGCTATGCCCGGAGAGCCCCGGAGCAAAGCCTGCCAGCCGCTGCGCGGAGCGATGCTGATGGTTGCCTACGAGAAGGCAGTGACACAAACTACAAACAAAACCCTGCTGAACACAGTTCTCTGGCTTGACAGGGAAACACTCATTTCCCACACTCCATCACAAATCAGTCAATTCAACACAGAGACACAAAGGCAAAAACACTTCTATATTACTGCACAACAAAGCTGAAAAAAAGACATGACAAAATCTCATCTGTCTCTTGGTTCTGCTTTCAAGAGATGCTTTGCAGCGTGATGAAAGGTGCCCAATTGTGTGTATCATCGTAATACAGCACTTTCAGGGCTGCATAAATTCGTGAAATGCAAAATTTCACTCACATCAACACCAACTTTGTAGACTGTATATCTGATTCCTTTTAAGAATCTGCTGACATAGATATGCCTAATTTGTCATTTCCTTATACCCTGGAATATTGATTTTTAAGTTCTTCTCTGAACTGTTTTAAGCCAACATCCTTCTTAAAAGAGGGCCTGCTAACATCCAAAATCCTGTGACTTAAGTAAAATAAATCCGTGATCCACAGATTCTTGCTTTCATAGCAGAAATCCAAACACAAAATTAATGTGTGTACTTCACTACAGCTGCCAACTCCTATTCATTTTGTTCTTTGGACCCAGAAAGAGAACAAGACAGAGACTGACATGTTTGTTCACATGAAAGAAAAGCAGAAGCCGTGGTGCTGTCTGGTTGGAGTCCTGTGATAAAAACCCTATGGGCCTAGAGGTCAGGTTTTGCTCTCTGATGCAGGAAATCAATGGAGGTTGCATGTGCATATGTGAAAACAGGATTTTGCCGCAAGACTTATCAAATCCTTTTTTTTATTATTTAATCTGCATTAAGGGTGGTGGAGACATTAATTGCAGGCAGGGATGGAGCTCTAGTTCAATGAAATTTTGTAGTCTCGAAAATATGCCTAGCTTTCAGTCACCTGTTCCACGTATCATTTCTAGTTTACTGTACCAAAAGACCAACTAATTCAAGTTCAATATTCACACCAAACCATCATTTTCTTTTTAACATTGGTGATTGAAGCATAGTAATTTATAACCTTTTGGGCAAAAAGGTTGTTTAATATGTATGAAATAAAACCCCATTTTGACAAGTTCAACATACATTTTAAATGCTGTTAAGGATGTATGATATAGATAAAACCCTGAAAACACTGGATGATTTCATATTATTTCAAAAGATATTTGAGGTCCAGGTATCTGTGGCAAGTAAAATATGGTTTTCACCCTCATCAGCTAACATAAATTGAAAACAATTCACTCTGCACTGGAACTTCAGAACATGCTAAGTTTAAGCATGCCAGCAAAAATAAAACCTAAAAAAATACACATTCTGTTTTATGTAGTGAGACCCTCAAATTCAAGCCATTAATGAAAATTAAAATTAGTGATGAAAATCAAATGCCCCCATGATAGAACTTTAATTCTAGCATGGGAGCGATCCATTTGCATGAAGACAGCCCAAACTTATGCCACTAGAAAAACATGAAGAATCATATAAAACTTTTGCAAAGGTCAGAGCTCATAGGTCAAATGACTCTCCCCTGATAAAAAGTCCACACCATTTAAAAATTATTTTGATGTAATATCTTTCTATCTACCATTGAACTTGTATTCTTTCTGAAAATCTTCTAAGCAGTATTTTCCCTGATATTCCTGTTGGGAATGTTGCCTTATCAAAATGCCTCTTTTCTTGCAGGACTTCCATTTTCATTGTGAAAGATAAAAACGCTTAACTGTTCAATGAAAAGATTTATAGTTAGTTAGTTTTCTACTAAGGCTAAAAAGTAGCTTTTTCTTATATTAAGATTTATTAGAAATGGGTTTAGAAACAGTTTGGGGTTTTCGTTTTGTGGTTTGTTTTGGTTTGTTTTTTTCTTTACATATTTTACATACATTTTAAACATTTTTTTTTCATTTAAGCCTCAGCATCATCCAGTGTTAAAAAAGCTTGAAATAATTTTCATTTTTGTCCTGCCAAATTGTTGTTTAGAAACATATGACAGCCAATCTGAATAGCACCACAATCACATTAGTTCTGCTGTATCAAATCAAACCCCACAGCGAGAGTTTCTTTTCCTCCCTCTTTTTTTTTCCTTATGAATCAGTGGATATATAGATTTCTTTCTACATTAATCCAGAAGCTGATTCACTGCCTGTTGTCCGACCTTCATATGACAGCTCTCACCTTTCAGCTCCTGAGGATCTGCGGGCAATCCGGTAGCCGTGCCAGTCAGTACAACCCCATCAGCCAGGAAGAGCTCAGCAGCCGAAGCGGTCTCGGCCACGCTGACATCTGCCGTCAGAGTGTGAGCACTGTAAACAACAGGAACGTACCCTGTGCTTACTGTCGGCACACACATTTGTTATCCATCTTGTTGAATGTTTAGACTGCGTTTCTTCATCTTACCCGCTGTCAGAACAACCAAAGGCAGGCTTTGTGAGAGAGGGTAAGTGTCCTGTTTTAAAATGGGAAGTAAAATTGCAATACGAACAAGAGGAAAAAACCCAACCTTTTCCATCAGGGAACCATAATTGATTAGTCTATTGCTCTGGGTCTCCTGTCTCTAAAGAGCGATTGCTAAGTGTGAACTACCAAGTGTCAGTCGAGACAGCTGCTTACATGTCGAGCACCTGTATTTCAGAAATGTTGAGCACACACAGCGCTCTGACTTCAAGTGGGAGTTGTGGATGTGCAGTCATTCATAAATCAGATTCTGTTGCCTAGAACAGAATTAACACCCTCCATTTCACGAAGTCCAACTAACAGAAAGTATAGTTATTACCTATGATATAATCACATCTTACACAGCAGTTACAAACACCAATTACTTGCAACCTAGCTTTTCAACAACAGTCTTTGATACATGGGTGACGCACTTTGTCTGAAACCTATAGCAATAGAAGCTTTTAATTTAAACGGTTCTAAACTTTGAAAGAATTCCAGCCATTGCTGGTTCAACACCTGACTTTGTTGTTTCTATATTTCCATTTAAGCAGAAAACAATGGCTATGGCCAACATGTTGCACTGATGAGTGGTGATGGAGCCAACCTCTTTCCTGGATCAGTCTGGATGGACAACGCTCTTGGAGGGGGGCCATGCTCTGGCCATATTCAGAGGCAGCACGCGTGTGCAGTGCGTTCCGCTCATGGCGATGGATGCAAAAGGAAGTACACTAACTCCCCTTCTGCAGCTGGAGAAAGGCAGGCCTAAGTACCTAATATGTACAATGAGGTTGAAATGGGGCTTAAGAGTAGTAGGCACCCTAAAACTAGCACGTGGAGGGTAGCGCCGTATCACCTGTAGACTACAAAAATAGTTTCTCCCCATTTAAAGAACAGGAGACTAGCAGCTCTCAGTGGCAGGCATATTTTTCTACATTAAAAGATTCAACCAACAAGTCCTTTAACATTTCCTTCTCAGCTTATGAATCTGCCTGAAACAAAAAGGGTTTCCTAAAAAGCAAACCCTTTGAACAACAGGAAGTATAATCCAAATATTAATTCATCAATCATCAAGACAAAGAAAAAAAAAATCACGATGCAATCGATTTTTTATAAAAAAAGTCTAATGCAATGTATTTTTATTTTTATATATACACATACATATATATATATATATAAAGAAATCATTAGAAAGAAATCACTGTGAAAGGACCTTAAAAGCTTAATTTGACCACGCTGCATTGTTTCCTTTCTATTTTGAAATTTATTACCTGTTTATTAGGTATTTAAGATCTTCCAGACTTGGTTATTCTCATTATTACCCACATACTACACACAAACATTTTAATTATATATTATACATGCTAAATAACCTAACACTTGAGCAGCTCTTCTGGAGAAAAAAATCCAAAGTGACATCTAAATAGCTGAAAGTAACAAGTGATAGTTATGATAAAGTATCAGCAGAAAAGAGACTGGATTCATCTGTCATAAGTTCCTTCTGTTTGATAATCATAGAACATAATCCGTACATAGACAGCACTGATTTAAGTAGGAGAAACCAGTATTATTGGCAGGAAGGAGAAAAAAGAGAATAGCTTTTTAAAATGCCAAAATATTATGACGTGTATGCTTTTATATGGCAACTGCTTGCATAACTAAAAATAACCTTGGATGCCTAGCCTCCAGAAACAAAATTTCTTTAAACATAATAGGTATATACACAAGTATACAAAATCTCACCTAATACCAGATGCAAAACTTCTACAGCCTGCATTTATAAATCCTGAAGGTTAAACAACTGCAAACTTCACAGATGCAGCAACCTGCAGCTTACAGGTGCAAATTTATTTTTAAACATATCCCCTAATACCACTGCAAGACCTTGCTTGAACAATAAAGTTCTCCCTATATCATTAACTTTCCTCACACTAAATAGGCATTAAAAAAAATAATCAGAAAATGGAGAAAAATATAAGATCATTATTACATTCATATTTACATTAAAAATTGCTTGTATTTACCTATGTTTCTTTTTAATATCAGCGAAAATCTGAATGTTCTCTGCTCCAACTTGTTTTCTGTATCGTAGCAGGTTACCTGCACAGGCATTTATAATCCCTTCATCAGCAACATGAGAAAACACAAACCCTTCAGCCCGGATAAAATCAAGACCTGAAAAAAAGAAAATTATCAATATCTTAGCTAAAACTGAAGACTGAAAAACAGAAATACTAAACCCAAACAAAACCCCACCTTACTGCCCCTCTTATTTGATCCCAACACAAGTTGTTCCATATGCTCTAGGACTAACCAACCTTGCTTTTCCACATATTTAAGTTTTACATCCTTTATTTTCACCCATATTCTCTCCACTTCTTCTTTCCATCTTACTACCTTCAACTCCCTTCTCTCCCATAGAGCCCACCAGTTTTCTCCTTATCCCCACAGTTCTCTTCTCTTTCTCAGCCCCTATCAGTTTGTTCCTGTGTGGCTCAGAACAGGCGGCTGCACATCCTGCCCTGCCTCTTGTCATGAAGTGCCAGTGGGCACATGCTGACAGAGGAGCAGGTAGGTCAAAATACAGCTCCTTTGTCCTAACGATGTGTCTTCTCTCCAAAAAGGGTCATTAACTCGGGCCTCTCCTCTCCTTCCAGATACTCTTTCATTGTATTACTTCCTTCCCAACATCTATTCCCCCTGTTAAATATGCCTGAAGTTGGCCATCAGGTCAAAACACATCAAGGACGTGGACACAGACAGAGGAATAGCATTAAGTCTTCTTTCTTTAGAAAATTAGGTAAGAAAACACAGCCTGCAACACATTACATACAATCTGTTTGACTCTCCATCTGAATATAGCTTATGTTTTCTACACAGCACCGCATCAACAAATTACTTCTAGAGCTGCGCCAAAGGTACAAAAAGATAAGGTCTGGGAAGAGTGAAACATTTTCCACTCTATTCTGAACTTACTCCAACCATCAACTCTACCATGTCTTAGCAACACAGTTTCCACCATATTCATTCATTTTTTGCACTAGGAAGGTTTTGTGGGATGGATGCTTAAGAGGAAGATTACAAATAGCAATGACTTCACACAGGCCATTCATCTACTCTCATGCACCCCCTACGTGGCCTTGAAATATCCGTGTTGAAATACTGAAGCCTTGGGCAATGGTGTAATAAGCCCACAGCTGTGAGGGACAAGACTGAATTCTGACTCCCTTATTGTATTCCCCTCTTCTCTCCAGTCTTTCACAGCCTTGAAGTTTATTTCACCTGTCACTTAACATACATGTAAAAGCTCTGCACTCATCTTGTGCAGCTTTTACTGTTCTTCCAGCTTACTTTAGAGGTCTCTTCCAGGCCCTTCTGAAGCTCTGCTGCTGCTCCAGCTGCAGTCAGCTGCACATTTAATTAGAGCTGACATCATACCAAGGAAACCAACGCATGTGAAAGCAGCCATTGAGAATGCAATCCCACCCGCCAGAGAACTGCTTAGGCAACAGAGGCCTCACCTTAACACATTTCAAATATAAACATAAACCATCTTTAAAATGTATTTACCAAATGACAAGGTGCCTGTTTATGTTAAATTTCAGTTTCATTCCAAAAGCCCTGAAGTTGAAGAAACAGAAGCTTATGCCTGATAGAGAAGAGCCTGTATTGCTTACCAACACAGACTCCAGCTAACAAGAAACATCACAGACGGATGCCAAGTCAAATATGAGCTGTCCTGTACCTTGAGATTAGTGGGTGAAAAGCATGGAGTATTCTCAGGATCCAAAGCCAAGAGTGTGCCACAAGTATAGTTACAGGTGCTAATAGACATTGGGTAATAAATATAGTGCAAATAGCTAGATTCAGATTTCTGCATCTAGGAACAAAAGCTATAGGTTCTATTTAAATCACCCAAGTTTACGGTACAATTCAGAGCTAAATAAGAAAAACTACTTCTCCTCTAATCATAAGACTATCGATGAGTCTAGAGATATGTTACATTTTCACAGCAATCATAATGTCTAACTCAGGACAGGGGCTATTCGTTGAGTAATTTCATGTATTAAAGTCACTGCTTACATGTTGTTTGTTGATGCTTGGTTTGTGTTTCATTAACTTAGTAATTTAAGACTTTCTGCTAAACATTAGGACTGTACTTTGTTTAACAAGGTTGCACTCTCTATCTGGGTTTTTGGAGGCTATGAAAATACAAATTTTAACCAAGTCTAATAGGTGCAGGCACCAAATCATTACCCTTCTGTTTTATGAAGCCATAATCAGATTCCGCTAACGAATTCATTTTTACGCTCATAAAATTGTGAGAATGATACTATTGCTTACTTTCACATTTGGCAAGTTGAAAAGTAATAGCCGTTGAATAGTTAATAGGCAGTCCCATTTCTGACTTATATGGGAACAAAAAAATTTTGTAATCTCACTGGAAAACAAGCACAGGAAATTTCCAATGAAACCTAATAAACAGAACTTCAAGACTATATTAAGAACATGGAATCAAGTAACCAGCCGCTGCACGGCCTGCTCAAGGAACTAGAGCTTGTCTCTTTTTCAAAAGTTAATATTACTCCACTTACTTTAAACCTACTTAAACAGCTTTACCTAAACAGCTGTGAAGGTCTATCAATTGTAAAGAAAATCTTTATTTTTTTTCTTTCCTTCCCATGATAGTTTATGATTAAAAGAAAAAAAAATGACAGACTGAAACACTTCTTTTGCTGGGTGAGAAAATACTGCAAGACTGAGTTAATGGAGGAAATAGTACTTTTACTTTATCCATCTTAAATGCTGCAAATGTGCCCATGACTGCATTTTAACACCCCAAAACAGTGAATTGGATGCAACCATAGAGAAGCCCTTTCTCAGGTATGTTCCTCCCTTCAGTTATAAGGTCAAAAGGAGCTGGGAGCTATGATTTACTGCTTTCACAGAAATGCGATCTGGCCTCTGCAAGGCAGCAAGCTCCTGGTTGCTGCTGAATTTTGGACTTCAGGCAAACATATTTGCCTTTACACAAAGGCAAGATGCTGCAGGTAACTTTACTGGTGGTATCTTGTTTTATATGCGCAGTAAATCCTGGCTCCCAGCTCTTCTTGCCTTCCTAATTCAAAAAGAATCTGAAAGACTGATTTTGTGCTGAAAATGAAAACTCAGAGGAGTAAACTTTGCCTGCTATCGATGCTAGAGGCATACAGTCTCTGTGCTGTGAAGACCCTTTCTTACTCAGGACATTGTCTTGCAGCCACGCTCTTTCCATGCTCAGCATGAATTACAGACCTGGAAGAAGCATCTCCAGCAGAGCTTGCAGCAGAGTCCACAGTGTTCCCTGTCTTGCTCCACAGCACCTGTGGATGCTCCCAAGGCACGCACACCCCTCATGCAGTTCTCTGCTTAGCTGCCTCCCACCACAGCATTCATACAGTGGCAGTTAAAAAGAAAACCAAAAAAGCAGTATACAATTCTGCCCAATTCTATCCCACCTTAGCATCATGGGCTGTAGCAAGTGAATTCCCGTGGAGGATATCTCTGCTGGTGGGTGAGGGAAAGGAACAGTCTCAGACAGCAAAGCTGTATTTATAAAAGATATGGAGATATCTGGGTACCTGGTATATCTTCTGATATGAAGTCTCACTTAATCAGCTACCAACTGTGTCATTATCATTGATGAAGACTAATTCAGAAATGGGATTTCAGTAACATGATCCTTAAAGGAAAAAAGGGCAGTTTCACAGTCAGGTAGAGATGCAGTTGGACTAGATGATTATTTTAAGTCCCTTCCAACTGAACTATTCTATTCTAAATTTATGAGATGAGAGAAGATGAACTTAAAAACTGAGCCCTGATTCATGGTAAGTGTAACACAGGCTCACCCAGGTGTAGGGAAGTTGCACTCTACAGTAGACCCTACAGTCCTCGCTCCCAGGCACCCAGACTGAAGCTCTGGCCAGAACACAAGAGCGTAACTTGCCTCCGGCCCATGTGCCTGGGTTTTCCACCCCGTGGAGTCAAGATACAACAGGGAGGGGTACCTGGAATATCAGAAGTGTTGACGTGCATCACTACAGAGATACAGCTATGGGAACTGCTTTATGCCTCGAAGATCAGCAGATGGCCAGGCTTATAAGCCTTATAAGCAGAAGTTGCTTATATACACCATTCTGTTTCAACCTCAAGCAGATGTAGTTAATTAAATCAGAAACTACAAACAGGAAATTATACACCTCTAAAAAACACATGGTACACCTGTTAATAATGAACCAACTGAAAAGTAACCCTAGCAAACAAATTCTGACTTGCTTCTCCACAAAGAACATTTTAGGAAAGAAGGAAGATAATACAGTCTTTAGAAGATGTCATTAAAATGAACTATTAAGAAGGGTTGTTTCTCTGAGAATAAGTGTTTGAGATTAAGATGGCTTCCAGTCAAATACATAAATACAAAACTGTACTATTCTGTATTGTCTCTATGTTTCGCAGTCTACAGTTCCTTAGGGACATTACTGTATTTTAAATTAAAATGCCTACGTTAGAAGAGTATAAAAATTGAGCAGCAGAGGACTTTAATATTAAAGAAAGGTGTGACATGAATCTCCCCCACTATTTGTGTGTATAATGACACTAATTTTTGAGTGGGCTAACATTGCCATATCTGCCCTTAGGAAGAGAGGGAAATCTGGCAGCTTTCAACATAACATCTTGAAGTCAAATGTGAAAGCAAAAGATCAGACGCAGTGACCCTGGTTTGTGGGGCAGACGGAGGGGGACCATGGGCCCTGCAGCAAAGCCCACAGCAGGAGAATGCCATGGCCTGCCCGGTGGATGCCCTTAGGCAACCGCCTCCTTCAACCCCCTGTGGTGGACCTGCCCTTGCGCTGAACCAAGAGTATTCAGTACTGGTGTAACAGTCTGCAGCAACCTTTTGGAGCTGGGGGGATGTTGGCAACAACTGTTTTGGCTCAATAGTTGTTTTGGCTCAATAGTTGTTTTTTGATAATATGAGGAACTACTTGTTTCTGTCAGAAGAGTGGAGACACAGTGGTTTCCTTTTTCCTCACGATCCCCCACTATTTTCCTACCACTGCCCCATACCTTTGCTGAAACACTCAGCACAAACACATTTTTGCTGGCATTCCTTCCTTTAGGTGCCTAATTGAATAAATAAACGTTTCTTAAAGAACCAAAATAAATTTAAAAAAATTCTCAACCTTCTTAGATGCCTCATCCCCTCATTTATTACTGTTATTTTCAGATTTATCCAATACCTTGTCAATATTAGGGGAGGAAATATGGAATATGGAGGGAAGTGATTGTGCCCCTGTACTCGGCACTGGTGAGGCCGCACCTCGAACACTGTGTTCAGTTTTGGGCCCCTCACTACAAGAAAGACGTCGAGGTGCTGGAGCGTGTCCAGAGAAGGGCAACGAGGCTGGTGAGGGGTCTGGAGAACAAGTCTTATGAGGAGCGGCTGAGGGAACTGGGGTTGTTTAGCCTGGAGGAAAGGAGGCTCAGGGGAGACCTCATCGCTCTCTACAACTACCTGAAAGGAGGTTGTAGCGAGGTGGGGATCAGTCTCTTCTCCCTAGTAACAAGCGATAGGACGAGAGGAAATGGCCTCAAGTTGCACCAGGGGAGGTTTAGCTTGGATATTAGGAAAAATTTCTTCACCGAAAGGGTTGTCAAGCACTGGAACAGGCTGCCCAGGGAAGTGGTGGAGTCACCATCCCTGGAGGTATTTAAAAGACGAGTAGATGAGGTGCCTCGGGACATGGTTTAGTGGGCATGGTGATGTTGGGTTGACGGTTGGACTCGATGGTCTTAGAGGTCTTTTCCAACCTTAATGATTCTATGATTATATAATATGCTAGGAGAATTCAGTAATTTCATCTGTTACAAATAGTATAGCCAAATAGGCTACCCACAACATGTTTATTAGCATAACCACAGGTTGCTGGATGTTGAGCTCCTAGTCACACTGTAAACCTGCTGACTTTTTTCCCCCTTTACAAAATAAAATCATTACCTTCACCTAGAGACCACTTATGATTTCCCTGTGCAGTTCTCTTCAGAATGGTGATTTCTACCAAAGATAGGAGTTTCCACAGGGAAAATTAAATGACTGCATAGTAGCAGGAGACGCTACATATGCTTTTTAGCTAAAACACCTTCAGCAACTGTTTTTTGTAGTGAAAGCATACAGGGCTTGCTTTATTAATAGCCACCTATTAAAATTGTATTGACATTAAAGTCACTACTAAGTTGCTACAGAAAAAATACTCAAAGATTTGCTACCTACAAAGTAGCATTCACTTTATTATGGTTTTGCTTAAAGTGATTTTCTTTTCTTTTTGCTTTCCTCTTCAGTGAACTTGAGACAATCATCTTTTGAGAAGTGCAATGAAATGCATTAAACACAGGCCCTTCCTAGCTGGTGTTCTCCAGTTACAGAGCAAATAGTGCAGAACAGCAGTAGAGCTGAGCAAAACCCAAGCCCTCCAGGAATTCTCTCCCTCATTAATAATTGCTGAGAAGTAAGAGAAATACATTGGTCCCACACTATATCCTTTATTTAGTGATCAATTTTTGCTCCTAAAAGGATGCATAATTCACTAACAGTTTGACTATTGCTTTTAAAAATAAGATGTGTAAATATTTTTGCAAATGGCTATGTACCTCAAGTATCCTACCTGCTGACAATCCCTAAAAACTAAAACTGGATTCTGTTAGCATTTTTATTTAGGTTTTCATATAGGTTCTACTGCAGCAATAAAAATCAGGTTTTGTCAGTTTGTCAAGTAGTTAGATACCTTGAAAATGACAACTTCTGATTTTAAAGCACTCAAAACAAATCTGAGTTCAAAACACATCTACTAACAAGAATTCCCCCAAGATAAAAGGAATTTAAGACTTTTAGAACACATTAAATACAATTAAAACTGTCACTGCAGATAAGTTAGCCTACATTATTTTACCTGAAGTATGGTTTTCAATTAACACCAGCATCTTTTAGTTTTCCATTCTTACAAAATTCTGCCTGTTTATAAAATCTGTACATTCAAAAACGTGCAACCTTACTGTAATCACATATGCAATTTGGGCAAAAACAGACATTAACCCTCAATTTATGAAGTATTTAGGAAGTACAAGCCTTCCATATTAAACCAGCCTTCATCTTTAAATCATGGAATGTTACATATGAAAAACTAAAATTGCTTCAGCAAGCAGCAGGAGCAGAAAGGTTAGCAAGTCTAGGATTCATGCAATAAAGATAGATTAATTTATATTTAATTCCCCCAAATGCAATTTAATTTTAAGTAGTTTGGCTAGCTGTACACTCAATTTTTTGTTATTGTATAAAAAGCTTTGTTCCATCCATTCATTAAAAAAGGCAATGAAAACTTAGTTTTAATGGATAACAGTAGTAGCAACAACATATAATTAGATGCTGAAACAGGATGCTTAACCACAGTGGGTTAAATTGATCCTCAAACATAATTTAACTGAAGTAAATAGAGTTACACCAAAGGTGGCTTTTAGACATGAGTAGGTTTAAACTAATCATTATATTTAGACAGGTTTCACCTAGAAAGCTGCAGCAGTGGCCTTGGGATTTTTAGCTGCCTCCAACTGAAGCAGTGTGTAAGTATCATCTATTATAATCAAGCCGGCATCTTTCTCAAAATCTAATTTCTGCTTTTTCAGGGTACAGCGAGCTTTTCATGTCTCATTTTTCATGGTATCTATGTTAGTACAATGCACAATTTGCAGAGAGTAAATGCCATAGCAAACAACAGTAATAACTGATGAGTCATTTCTATTACCTGCAGCAAGAGCAACTGCTATCGCCTGTTGATTTGCAGCACACAGGATCTGGACACCCAGCGCGAGATGGGGACAGGTTTGTCTCACTGCAGCACTAATGACTGTCATTGCTGCAGTTACTTCAGGCCCAGGACACACCGTGTAAGGAAGATCATGCATGTTTTCTACTATCAAGCCATCCTGTGGAGGTTATTATAAAGAAATATGATTGAACTGGAAAAAAAGGAACTTAAAAAACATGGCTAGTTTACCATTACACTGTTTTGTATTAAAAGACACAGGAGTTTAAAGGTTTTCCTTCAAAGGAAGGATTATCTACAGTAAATTGTGTTGATGCATACAACCACTTATAAAAGTGCTTTCATCAACAGCATGGTATTTGCAGGGAAATCATGAAGAGAAATAAATGTGATCTTAATTATACATTCATCAATTTGGTTTCCTTTGATCCATCCTAAAATGTGCACTATAGGCGAATGAGTTAAATCTTATACCTCATTAAAAATAGCGTAAAGTCAAACTTCAATTATCCAAGTGGAATATAGGATATTGAGTATATTTGGATAACAGAGGATTTAGAGATAATCAAGGCAATTTTCAATTCAATTAATGTCAGAAAATAAGTGCTATTTTGGATAAATAAAGGAATTTTTTGTTTGACTATTATTGTGCCTATTTGCAGTGTGCCTAATACCATAGTATTAACTATTGATATTTCTCCCATTCTGGATTCAGAATTACTTAAAGGAAGATATTGCTATTTGTTATCTACTATACCTCTCATTCCACACGGACATACTCTTAGCAAACAATGGAGTGATGATAAAATACTCTGCTGATATAATTTATGCGATTTATTGAAAATCTTTGTACATTATCTGGTACCTTGTACTTTTCCAATCATTGTATAGTATATACCAGAAAGTTTTCAACAACTGCAAATCATATATAATTTTGTCAAGGACTAATAACAAGAGTAAAAGTATAGCCTTGAAACATATTTCAAGCCTGATGTTTTGCATTTGCAGTGAGAATGTTAAAAGAAGCTAGAAGTTTCGTACCTGCTTCAATCTAAAAATACAAAAAGTTTAATAGACAAATTAATTGTATATATAGAAAATAAATTCTGCTCTCTCTGGAGTTTCATCACACATCTTAATCCTTTAAAATGAGAGCTTTACATTTCAAAGATATTGTAACTGAACCAGAATAGAAAGAAGAACATTTTTTGGGGAAAAAAAATACAACTAGACATTAAACAAAGAAGTTTGCTTAATAACAACGTAGAGAATCAGGATGGGGAAAAAAAAGGTTTCCTTTTCTAAAAACTTTCATATGTCACGCTTCTTTAATCTTTGTTGCAGTGTAGAAGCCCTTTTGGCAGTAAAAGATAAGACAGTATATAAAATGCAGTCAGCATTTAATGGCTGAATTACAGGCTAAGCCACAGACATCATAAATGAACACCTAACATGGAGGATGAGGAAAACTGAGAATGGAAATCATCCAGTGGAACAATACGGTCAGTCCAAGCACGCGACCCACATATGTTCAGTGCACCAGGGTACAGCTGCCTTTACCAAATGACTTACATCTGAGTTTTTAAATACACAAAATACATGTTACCTTAAAAACAAAAGGACACAACCTATTAATGGAAAAAGTGATCTAATATTATGAGCACCCAACATTAGACCTACGCGCTATTTGGTGCCATTCATCAGCATATTTAATTACAGAATTCCAGTCCAAGAAAACCTCAGCTAGGCAAAGGAAAACCAGATATGACAACTAACCAAAACATCTGTCCTTGATTTTGTTTCTACGTCCAATTCAATGTATAATTTAACATCCACACTTCTCTACTTGTGATGGGAGGTAGCCATATGACAAAGACGACAACCAGTCCTCAGAAAACCCCCACCATTTTCAGAAATGAAAAAAAAATCACAAACTTTTAGTCGGTTTCTCTGGAATGAGGTCCGGACTGTTCCAACAAACCTAAACTGACCAAATGGTCTTGTACCTCAGGCACAACTACTGAATCCTTTGTGGTACCAACAGAAAGAGAAATCCCTTAGCCTTTCGCCCTCTGTACACATAAATATATTAGGTCAGCCTAAGCAAGAATGCAAAGTTGGTCAGTAGTAGTATGCAGCAAAAGGATTAATGTAGAATTACAATATTTTAACAAAACAAACTCAAAAAATGCAATGAACCCTCAAAACCAGGTAATTCCTTGAGGCCACAAAACCTGGACACCCTTGGTCCTCGGCTCAAGAATGCTCTACTTGGCAGGCTTCACCAAAGCCTGGGTATCTGGGAAACTTCAAGCTTACCATAAGGGCAAGGAGCTAGGATCTGCAAACCAGAAGCCCTAGGCTTTCAGGCAGTTGAGAATCAACTTCAATAGGACATGCAGGAAGAAAGGCATCTGGGAACGGGGCTTCAGATGCTCAGCCCCTGAAGAGCCACGCTAGTAGCCAAAAAAGCAGGAGAATGGGCTGGCAGAATTTCACAGGAATTCCGCAGTGAAACTGAGCTTTCCATGAGTTGCTACTACTTTGAAAGCTCAGAATTTGCATAACGCAAATTATTCCATTAGATACATTAATGAATTAATTCATTTAAAAATTAATTAAAAACCCTAGCCATACTACTGTGCATAAAAAGTATCTGATTGAATTCTAGTTCAAAATGCAGGTGTATGGGAGGATTCCAACATTTCTCTCTTCAGCCTTAAACTTACTATATTCACTTATCAGCAGTTGCCTCTTCCTATGGCCTCAAGGTCCACAGTTACTGTGAATATTTTTGGTATTACTTTAATAATGTGTTATTCTTTTGGTACCATCCAATAGACTGTGTTCTTTTGCATATTATGTTTTGTTTAATTAAAAAAGAACAACATATGTTCTGCAATAGAGAGCTGAATTACAGATGCTTTAACTCAAAGCTTTCTTTCATATTTTATATAAAAATATAACACCACAGATTTCTGTGTTTACTGAATTGATATGTATATAAAACAGACTTCAGTACTATCAGACAGCTAATTAAAATGGTGGAAAGAAAACAGTTATGCTAAATTAAAGTTCTTGGAACTTAAGCTTATAGTTTAGAAGTCTATGGGAACAGCTAGTGTATTACACCCTCCAAAGCAGAATTTATTTGGATAGTATGAGATAAAACTCTAGCAAATACCTTTTGTGTTCCTTTTGCATTGAATATTAAGATGATTTAAGTGTTGCTTATATATAATAGTCTTATTATAAATAATTTTCAAACAATATATTTCCTTTTTACTTTGAATGACTTCTGAAGTGCTACATATGTGCAAAGTGCCTCTTGTACCACAGTTAGCTACTGGAAAATAGGTCATTTAAATAGCTCTCTGATTATATAGAAAAATAACTTCCTTAGCTTTATTCCACTTATAGAAATGACCTCTTAAAACACTTCAACCGCACACACACATATCACAGCAGAAAAGCCTCAAAAATAGTCACACTATAAACCACAACAGGTATAACAATCATACAAGCTTTAACTCAGCACCTACCTAATGTAACATTTACCTAGGGCAACTTTAACCCCAGTGTTTCCCCTAACAGAAAGGCTTTACCTACAAACACATACATACTAATACAAACCTTTGCAAGCTTAAAACAACTATTCTTTCCTACAGGAAGAAAGGGGGTTTTGCACCATACCCATTATTATATAGGCTCAGGTATGCACTAAGACAATTACAGCCTTTCCCATCATCACAGTCATGTGCCCCTTATAAAGGAAACCAGGTGCCTTTGTAGAGCATTTATTTGCTGTGTCTAGGCACAGCTTCCTAGCAATTCCTTTAAAAGCTCTACTCCAGAGCAAGAGATTACTGCCTTAATATATGTAAGTATGTATCTTAAGTTCTCCTGCATATACCATAGGAGGTAGTTGGGTGGAGATTTGTCTGCTATTTTATTCTACTGTAACATAGCTAGGATTTGAAATGTTAACCTCTGTAATCCAAGTGACAACTACCTACATGTTTCTATGCAGAAATACTAGTTTATTCTGTCTCACCTGTTATTAAACTCTATGTAATTTGAATTCCAACTATCATTGTAGTTATAAGAGTAATAGGCTTGAAACTTTTCACTTTTTAAAGACATCAATATAAAACATGTAGTAGCAACTACCCTTCCAGGTACAGAAACAAAAGAAGGGTCAGAAGGATCAGAACAGCAATGAATGCATCGCCAGAGACAGCATTGGCAAAAGAAGCAAACCTGAAATTTTGTGTGGTAAGAAGCACCATAGTATTAACAACTCAATGTAACTTTATAATTTTGGGATTCTTTTTAAAGAAATGGTTTTACTTACTTATTTCTGTCTTTAATGTCAGCTCAGCTACTCAAGTAGCTACAGCTAGATAACAGCAACTAGTAGTAAAGTGATCTATATCAATGAAATTAGAGGGAACTTGTGCTCTATTTTCTGGCTACAAAGTAAGCATCACCCAGGCTGAATCGAATGAATAAAAGTTAACTCAAATATATATTTTACATTTTTCTTAAACAAAAGCAGACACAAATTGGAGGGATCATAATGTCTCATAGCTTGCTGCTTATAAAATCTTGTCTAGGGAATTTCATTGTTTAGCAACACACAAGTACAAAGTATATACATTTTGAGCACAGATGGCTTCCTAACTGAGCACTCACTTGTTTTCATTACTGTGCTCTAACATCACAAATCTTTCATATTTATTATGTTAAGCTGCTAATGTGCCAGACGAGTCACCTTTTTCTGAATATACTAGGATTTACTTCCAAGTGCAATGCATATTGAGTGAGCAAGACCATATACTTTATTTTTAAATGTTAACACCAATTCAAGCAACTTGAGACAATATGTAAACATCTAGTAGCAGCAAGATGGTTACATATCATCTTAAAGGCTACTGTGGGCAGCATTTGGCAATACTGTCAGTAGAAACATCCGTGGAAAAAAACTTTAAGTTTCTAGCTCTTCCACAAGAAAAACAGACAGCTTAACAGTTCATTCAGAGTACTGAGGGGGAAACCCAAATATGCTCCCCTTACAGAAGCAGGATAGCTAGTTTGGAAGAGTGGTGATCTCTGGGCAAAAGCCAGGAAGCTCCTGAAGTATCTGTCATGAAAACTTACATTTCTCTTAAAGTACCAGGAAAAACTAAACAAGTGAATTGCAGAAAGTGTTAGGCAAACATACTGATATTTATGGAAGTTCTCCTGATTATCTCTGACCTTTATGGCCTTAATAAAGGATTTGTTTGTCATATTGCTGTAACACTATTGTATACAGGCCTCTAGAATGAAGATTGGTGTGGAATGTATACTGATGTTCTTGTGATTTCTACAGGAAATAGACTTAAGCATAACTTTAAGCTCTGAATTTGTCCAAATGTGTAGAGAAATGACTGCATTCACTTCATCTGTCTACCTGAGAGGTAGGTTTAAAAATATATTCAAGTTCAGAGACTGCAGTGCAGTAGGAGAAAAGGTAAACCAGTTAGACCTGGAATAGCAGAATTTATTACAACTGTTGAAAAGACAATGAAGTATAAAACCCAAATTAAAATTTTGTGTTCATACTGATTTTAAAGCTTGTCTTAAAACTGTTCCAGCTTTGTGCATGTCAGCAGTGGAAGTAACTGCTTCAGTACCCTCCCTCACCTTTAGGTATACTTCATGTTTTCTCCCTGCTGCTAAAGGTTTCAATGTGTAATTAGTACGTAAGAGAAATGGGTAAACAAGCAGTGGAATGTGGGGCAATTGCTGTAAGAGTTACAGATCCCTTGTGTAACCACTTCCTCTAACACAGGAAGACAGAGACTAGTACTTGCCACTCTTCTGTAGATCAAATCACATTACACCTCATGTTGATACTGTAACTGTAAAGACAAAATATAAAGTCACAGTACAGAATACAGAGCTATTGCACACCTGCTCTTTCAACAGGCATGAAAAGGAAGAAAACTTACTCATTCTGTACAACTTGCAGTTAGAGATTATTCTAACTGGGTGGACATCTTGCACATGCTCATCTGGTTCATAGGCACTGAAGCCCACCTATGTAAACATCATTCTTCCGCACTGCTGTTTATCCTTTCAACAATTCTGTTCTCAGGATTCTTTCCTAATTTAGCCTTACTAGTGCTCTGCTGATAACCTGCTTCATATGACTTGTCTTGCATTTTGACATTGGTCTTCTATAATTTAGACTTAAGTTCTTATATTCAATTTTGTAAAGTATCATCCTAATTTATGCCATTAAAAAGGTTTCAACTGGCTTGTTATTAAAGCTTTTTGCAGAAAACAGCAGCTCAGAGCAGTGACTACTTGTTCATTTAAGACATTTTCAAACCTCGGGCATTAGGACACTGCTTCACCATGCCAGAAAATGTACGTAATACCATAGGCAGGTCAAAGAAAAAGCACATCAACACCCGAAGACAAGGTGCAATGAAATGTTTAAAACGTATCTGACCTTTCAAAAGGAGATACACCCTGTTAAAATCTCCTGACCTATGAAGATTAGTACACCACTTTAGGTCCAACAGCAATTCAGTCAGTAGTACCTGCCTCTTCTTGCCTCTGGGTGAGACTGGCCTTTTGGGCCTTCTCTTCTAGATGCACAAAGCAGGCATGCTTGCTGCCAGGGGGCTAGGATAGAAGAGTTAAAGAGGGCAGAAAAGGGCCTAAGCTTTTTTTTTAGTCCCTGATTAATCTGTGCTGTTTTGGTACAAACACAAATGTGGGGCGATCCTGCAGCCTACAAGTGACTGAGGTATGGATGCAGTGCCTCAGCTGTGCACATGGCATTCCTCCATGACTTCATGAAACCAGAGAGTGGTACAGAGCTAAAAATATAGTGGCTTGTCAGGGTGGATGATGAAGCATTCTACAGCCAGATACCTAGAATGCCAGCAACCACCCGTGTTGCAGTCAACTTTCCTCCCCCCCCCTTAAATTGACTTGATTCTTCGAAATTGATGGTAATGCAACTTAAGCAACTGAATTGCACAATTTGAATCTAAGCTTTTTCACTTGTTTTGGGTACATGTGATGCAAGATGTGGATTTAAACATCTTCCTAAACCGTGTGGTTTAAGATGCTTTTGATGAATTATAGACTCAATTTAAAATATTGGCTATGCAGAAGCAGCTTTGTGTAAATGCTGCCATAGGAAGAAGGAAACCAAAACTTACAACTCCAGCATCCTTGTAAGCTTCAGCCTCTTGACAAGCTTGATCAATGATCTGGGTCAATGGAAGAGAACTTCTTGGTGTCCCTGCAAGAATAATGCTGCTTACCCCAGGGCACGCACAAACCAAAACCACATACAGTAACAGCTTTCAGGTAGGATAACTATAGGGATTGGCATACTGAAATAGGAAGAAACAGGGTAAACTTGCTAAAAGACTGCTGTATCTCCTTGTGACATGCCTTAGTGGCATCTCTTTCCCTAGCTGAACTTCACAGATCTACTGTAACCATTCAGCTCCTACATCTAATTCATAAACTGCAATAATCCCTTATTGCACCAGGTCTGCTCTTAGCTTGTTATTCCTGTACTTATTATAGCTTATCCTGCATTGTGTGGAGCATCACTAATGCAACCTATGGCAAGACCGACCTCTAGGTCTGCAGGATACCTATGCTAAACACCAGTCAATTTAAAATTAGTTAAAGCTATCTTAAACTTTAATCTGCAAGGTTGACTGTATCTGATCTTCAGTAGAAGTGCTTCATGGAAGAAATGAACATGCATGGATTTTGTTGGAATTCAATGAATTTCCCTAAAGATCAACTCCAAAGTCTTTTCTGATACTTGGGCTCCTAAAGCCAGGCACTGAGAGTCTGAAATGGGGACTGTGAAGAGCCCTCTGACAACTTTGTTAGGTGGTCTGATTCCACAGCGTGGGGAAAACTGGCCATAGTGCCTGGAGGCTGCTTCTGGGAAAGCATGGAGCACAGTGAGCTCCAGGCATGAGCCTGCCAAGGGGAAGGTTAGCAGCTGTCATCAGCTCTGCTTACCCTGAGCCCCTGGAAAGGTGGATGAGGAGGTCAGGGTGGAACAAACCCTGCCTGTTGTCAGAGCGTCCTATTGCCTCTCAGGACCTGCGAGAGCTCTCGCCGACATCTATCCTGTCCCAACGCTCATTTGCTTAATTTCATAACCATTGCCTCTTAAAACACAGCAACGGAGAGCTCGCCAAACCCTTGTTTTCTCAGCCTAGCTCCCTACATGGAAGCGTCTCCTGCCTCTTTTACCTCTAGAAAGGGGAGATGCCCAAACCCGTGGCGCTTCATGAGGGGCCCGCAGCGGTGGTTGCAGGGACAGGCTTCCAGGGGAGCGGGCTCTGCCCTGGGGCCCGCAGATGCCGACGCGCCGCCGCCGCGCTCGGCGGGCGCAGCGCCAGCGGGCCGCGGCCGCCGCGCAGCGCTCCCACGTGCACCGTGCACC